CGCGTGACGAGACTAAAGAGAAACAAGCGGAATGCTGGAAAGAGGTCAAAAAACACATGTATCTTTTGGGACCGATTTCACGTCACGTCTTTGATGAGGAGGCGTTTAATGGACGCTGTGGAGCAGTGAAGTTTGCATTGCAATCGATCAACGAGGTAACTGTGAAAGAGCATTTTTCACGGGGAGGTGAGTCGCCACGGTGTTCTGAGGATCCGTCCCACAAGCTTGTGAAGGTTGTTCGGGAAATATACGCAGGCGGTGTGATCCTTTTCAATGCACCGATATCTGCTTGCCTCGAGGAACGGACATTTGAACGCCTCCCACGTGTAGCAGAATAAAATAGCCTTTTGAGGCTGATGTTGGCGTCGAGGGATAATATTTTGCCCATATTTTTTGGATGGTTTGCTTTGGAATTGTTCACGGAGAGTGCCTTTGTCAAGGCAATAGCGACGAACCTCACGGAGTTTGAGCCGCCAACAGGACGTCAAGCAAAGCCCTGCGTCTTGAAGTTGGCCCCTGAACTGCATCCCAAGGGAGATGAAGGTTTGCTGCTGAGTGAATATGAAAAAACGATCCGTAAAATAAAGTACGGGGTGCTGCACAAACCGTGGGCCACAAACTTTTCGCTGGTGGACGGCTTTTTTTCTTCATGCAGTCCAATCCAATGAAGCTGGTTGGGCTGCGGATGGCTACGGCGGATGGGCACCACACCACCGCCAGCACTGTGGGGCACTTCACTGAGTGTCTGGTGGCATATTTTAATGGTTGGGAGGAATTATCCCGAGACATGTCGTGGGAGATTATTTACGTGCAGCACGCAGACAGCACGCCGATGAATGGCTGGCAGAGATGTGATGTCGTCAATTCCAATAATGTGAGCGACGATGAAGGCCGCGGAATAGCGGCGTTGTGGAACGGAAAAGGTGCGGCAGTACCAAGTGTCAATATTGAAAGAAGTTTTAGAAAATGTCGTAGGAGTTTTAAATTTGTGAAGCAAAAAGGCTTCGAAGGGAAAATGGAAGAAATAATTGAGGGTAATTGGCGCATTACTTTTATGATGAATTATGTTAGGGAGTATTTTAACGATTTTTATATTTGTGTGTGACTGCAGGTGTTGGTCAGGGAACGCCTTTCTTCCGAGGGAATCATTGCGGTCAACAGTGTCGCACCACTACAATCATTTTTTTATTTTATTTTGTTTTTACTTCTGTGAAGGCTCCGTCGTTCCTGGAGGATGATGTGCAACATCAGTGTGCCCATCCGGCTGTTGGTTTTGGTGCAGAACGGGCGGGAGGCGATGCTGTCGTTGTGCCTGCAGGAACTCGAGAGGGTCTATGGGTGGTCCGGACGCCTGGTTGTGAGTCGTCACCCGGAAAACATCGGGTACAGCGCTGCCGTGAACATCGGGTCACGACTTGCACTCTCGCTGCCGCGCGAGGAAGTGCCTTTTGTTTTTGTGACAAACGGCGACGTAATGTTTTCACTCGATCTCCTTCCCAGCCTTCTACGCGATGTGCATGGAATGACGAGGCATGATGCCGCTCGCATGGATGAGTTGTCGGCGGAGGTGGCGAATGAGCCGAGCGAGTCCAGTCCTGTTTTGCGACGGGGCTTGAGGGTGCTGCGCTCCACGGTGAACGATAGCCGATTGTCGACGTCTGCGCTGCTGCCTGACCGCATCCGTTATTCCTCTGCGAAGGAGCGTGAAAAGGCGTTTTCGAAGCATTACGGGCACTTCTGCGCGTATTAAAAAGCAGTTGTTTTGTGTCTGTTATGTTGACACGCCTGGCGATAAGCACGGTGGGATATTTTGACGAGAACTTCTACCCAGCTTGCGTGGAGGATGTCGACTACAGCTTACGACTCCGTTTGCTTGGATTTCAGGAGCGGAATGTCTTATGCGGCAAATTTGTGCATTGCGGCAGCTCGAGTGTTCGTTTCTCTAATGAAATGGAGCCACCGGACGCTCTCTGGTGCCGTCGCGTCAAGTCTTTGATGACGAACCAACCATATGCCATGATGAAGTGGAACCGTCCACGGGTTTGCAGTGGCGGGTGCAAGGGGCCATATGACGGCATGGTCCCCGAAGACTTTTGGGTGAAGGATGAGGCACGCATACAACGCATTCGGGCCTACGGGCATGATGAGGAGCAAGGGGTTCCAAAGGTTGAGTACGACAGGAGGCTTTTGCATCCTGTAAGGACGAAAGGAAGATGAACTGGCGCCAGTCGCAAGTTTTGTGTTTTTATTATTTTATTTTGTTTTATTTTTCACTTCAATTATTAAAAGTTTTTTATTTATATATTTACACAAATGATATTTAAGTGAGTACGCCATGGGTTTTAAAGAGTGCAACCATATATTTGGCATGACAGGGGGAGGGCGCAGCGTCCAAAATTGGCCGTGTTGCCGAGGGTAGGAGAGAGCGGCAGCAAGCAGGAAACATGATATGATGGATGGGGGAGAAATAAAAGGGGAGGGAAGCAGAAAACAAGACAAAGATATTGTGGGCACAACGCTGTTTCTCACGGCGGGCGATCGACGCCGCTATTGGCTACTAAGTTACCCACTGAAGGTGACACCCGTTTCCGCTGGATATGCTGCGTGCATATCTGTCGGGCTCTTTTTTGTTGGTTTGTTTGTTTCCCGCACATTTATTTCTCCGTGCCGCCTGACCCACTCGTTTATTATTCCCCTCTCCGTTTTTGTGCGTGCACCGAGAGAAGGGCTCGGGGACATGAAGTGCGCTCCCCTTCTGTGACATGCCACCAAAAACGGGAGTAGAACAAAAAGAAAAGTGAAGCGGGGAGGGGAACCGTCGTCACGCGTCCTTTTCTCCGAGAAGGCTGCTCGCCACGCCACTGAGGCGCGCCGTGTGCTTCACGAGGCCCGCTGGACTCGATTGGGGAGCCGTGAATGATGGTGCGCGTGAGTGTGGCGGATGCGTCCCCCAGGCGTCCCTAGAGGATCCTCTGGCCATTGGGACTGCGTGGAATGCGGGAGTCCGCGGGGATATTTGGCCGTTTTGTTGTATTCTTCCATCCGCCCATCCCAAACCTCAACACGGCGGCTGATCCAACGACTGCGACGGGATCCGTTGCGTATTTCTGAATCTTTTTTGCGTTGCAGCGGCAGGCCTGGTGTGCCCTGCTTGGCAGACACGGTGGACGGGAGTGGGCTGCAGTATCGGGAAAGCGATGGTCACGGCGGAGTGTGTTGTGTACTTTGCAATTTGGCGTGTTTGTGGCGATCCTTGCGGATGATGTGACAGCGCCTGTTTTACTTGCGGGGAGAGAACCGATGCTCCACGGTGATGCACACGTTGCGTGTGGAGGTTTGTCTTGCTGTTGGTTTGTGAACGTTTTTTTTTTCTTTTGCAGAAACACCACAGAGGGCGGTGTCTGCGGACAGCAGAGAACTGCGAGGAGGGGCATCACCCGATTTTTGGCGCGATGAGGCGGCTTCTGTGACTTTACGGTGTTTATTTTCAGGACTGAGAGGCTATCCTTTGCTGGAATGTATTGTGGGAGACCATACGCGTGTTTGTTTTTTAGTTAACCCCTTGGCATTTGGTGTCGCCGTGAAATGGATGTTGATGGCCTTTTTATGGCGGCGAGATGCATGTTTATTTATTTTATTAACGAGTGGGTGAATTGTTTTGCGTTCTGCCACGCGGCTTGTTGCTGACGGCACGTGGCCGCAGGGAGACGTTGTGGGCGCCTCCGACACGAGGTGCGATTGAGCAATCATCTCCGCTCGCCGGTACACGCTGTTGAGGCGGCGTGATGGTAATGAATCGGCCTCTCAGAAAAGCAACAAGAGGGCGTTTGCTTTTCCTGCTGCGGTGTACGAGTGGACTCTCCAATCCGTGGGCGGGGTCGCTCTGTGTGCCGTATTTCTTTGAATTCAATGAGTTTTTTACATCGCCATCCACACGCACATGCACGCAATCTCCCTGTTTGCCCTCCTGTGGGCGGGAGACCGGGATGCAAAGGGAAAATGTGGCCCGTGCCAGCATGTGGTAAAGTCTTTCTTGGGAGGGATTGCGACTGTGATGTAAGTCCCGGCAGGCAGGAATGGGATGAGAGGAGAGCGGAGGGGCGAGTAACAACGATCGTGTGCGGAGCAATGCGCAGTGAGTAGGGCGAATTGGTATTTGTGTTGACTTTTCAAAGCATTTTTGTCTTTTTCTTTTGTGGCAATGGAAAGAAACTTTGGGTGGTGTGTTGTGGATTATTTGCACATGATTCAGCGCGGCAACACCATTTGCGGAGAAAATGAATGGCATCGGCGTGAGGCTTGTTTTTTGAGCGCGAGATGGTCGGGGAGGTGCTCAACGCTCCGAGAGGCCAGGAGCAAAGAGGCGCGCACTGCTGCAAGCAGAGGGATGCACGCTCCTGTTGGTGGCGTTGCTGTGGAGCCCTGAAGTGCCTGCAGGGAATTTGTTTTTCCCGCCTCATTATTTTGTTGATTGGTGCTTGCCGCGGCCTTTTGAGGCGGGGCGTGAGATGGACCGAGAGAGCGTGTGTCGTGCGGCGGTGCTGTGATTTGGTGCTGCCCACGTTTGTGCAGATAATTCCGTTTGTGTCCGCGTTCTTGCCGCGGCGGTGCACCGGGAGCGTGTGACTGATCACTGTATCACTTGCGGACTGTTTTGGCAGGACTTTGAATGGCGTCGTCGAATGATGAAATTCCGCGTCCATTTGTGTGTGTGTGTGTTGGCTTCCTCTGTGACTTGCCGTGTTGTTGTTTTTTTTATGTGGGCGATGTTTTTCCGTGATGTCCCTTACAGATTCTATTTTGTCCCGCACTTTGCGTGGGTGCTCTGCTCTGCTCCTCGCTGACGTGTCTGATGTATTGCCGCTGTTGCTGCTGTACTCTCCACTTCTTGGACAAAGACACATGCTAGGAAAGGAAGTAAGTCTAAACGCTAATCGCTACTGTGAAATTCGAAGGCTCTGAAAGGACCAACAGCACACACACCGCCCACACATATTTATATGTTCTCACGTGTTGCTGCAATGAAGGCGCCCCGCACACACAACCGTCGCCGCGTGACCGGCTCCAGCGGCAGGAGGAGGGAAGGAAGAGAGAGTGAGCCGCAGAGGCCCAACATGTCGCGGCATCTCTTCTGCTCTGCGGTGCTGCTCCTCGTTCTTGTGATGATGTGCTGCGGCAGTGGAGCTGCGCACGCTGAGCAGACAGGGGCCACTGTTGATCCGTTCACAGGGACGACGCCGATATCATTTGCTAATTGGAAGGGGTTTAACGAGGCCGGGAGGAAAATCACCTCGCTCCGTGCTCCTGGCCTCGTTAAAGTGGGTGAAGATGTATTTGCCGTTGCTGAATCGCAGTGCGGGGAGGAGAAGGGAGCCGGCCGCCGTGCTGGGATTGTCTCAAAGCACCTGAATATAAGTGGTGACCCAATGGATATTTCGACGTCGGATATAAGTTTGTTTTGCATGCAACTTGGGGACACCGCCGCGAATAATTTTGGGACAACGGAAGTGTTGCGACCAACGACGCTTGTGTTTGGGAACAGTGTTTACATGCTCCTGGGAAACCAAAGCCATACAAAGCCGCAGTTTCAAGGTGAGAATGAGCGGGGTCTTTTACTCGTGAAGGGAACTGTCGCCAATGAGGGTGGAAACAACAAGAAACTTTTGTGGAATGAGGCCCATGTGGTGAAACCTGAACCCAGAGGAGATTCTTATTCCTTG